GTCCGAAGGACTTAAAGTAGTCAGTGGTTGAGCACGTGGACGTGTGAACAGAACCGACGTATTGGCCTAGAGTGAACAGAGTTGTGGGAAAAATCGGAATGCATTCGAGATGAGGAGAGGTGTGTAAAATTTGCTGGTTTTCGATATAAATATATTGGTTCAGTTAAACAGGGCTCTTCAGACAATGGGTCGTAGAGTCAGGTGAGTTCATTTCGTCAAGCCAGCTCACAAACACAGAAGTGCCACAAAAGAGGAGCCTCACCAAAATATAGGTATAAATAAAGAATGTAAAGGCTTCTGTATGTGTGTGTGTGTGTGTGTCTTAAAAGCAAAAGGAGATCTGTATGTATGCCTAAAGAGTGGAATAAACGTGTGATTTGAGGTGGCGTCTGAAAAGCATGGCATGGACGCCGATGTACACTCTTGGCTTAGCTGGTACTCTGGACAAAATGTTTCACTTTTGCAAGATTCTCTGTCACAATCTAAGCTTCACCCCTTCACCCCCCATTCCCCACACCCGCATGTTTCGACTTGCTAGTACGCCTACAAAAGTCTTGTCCAATTCACATCCTGTCGCTCTGCTTGACTTCACATACTCACATCCTCCTGCCAAGCCCAGATACAACCCTGCTGCTTCGCTTTTTCTCTCTTCTCGTCTCCCATTTTTCTGCTCGTCTGGGCTGTCCCAATCCCTCGTGGACTGGGCGCATTGTCCATCTCAAAAGATCCGGGCGATGCAACCGTAAATGCACTCCTCAGCTCGCCGTCTGCAATGCCTCAGGCATGAACCGCGCGTTTCCCGTGTCCAGACCGGATCCAGAGGAGCATCATCGTCGGCAGCATCATTGTTCATCCCTTCCGAATGGTCAGTTCGATTGCAAGACCATTCGCAGGCTTGCATGGGCGAGTCGCAATTCCTGTCGAGACAGTTCAGCACTCGAGGGTCCTGGAAGAGCTGTGACAACAGTTCAGCATTGGGAGAGTTACGCAGAGGCGATGATTGAGTGGACAAATGTCCTGAATTCCGCGAGACGGAGAAGGTCGCCGGAGAACTAGCGATCGTAGCGAGGCAGAGTACTGTCAGGCAGATGATGCTGTGTAGCAGATGCATGAAGACTGAAAAGAGAGAAATAGCAAAACCAAAAGATGGACCCCTTTATTCAAATTGCAAAGGCAGATTTTTCGTTTATAAATAGATTATATATACGATATGTATTCACACTATTTCGTTTGGTTAAAATTTCCCACAATTATATGACTTTTTCATTGAATTTCACATAGCCTTGCTGAGATCCAGGGTGGATCTCGCCTAGATCTTGCGAACACCCACGATGGGACTCGAACCATGAAGGTGCAGTGCACAAGCCAGACACGTAAACCACAACGCCACATTGCCACGAGTCCAGCTGGGAGTGTTGATAAGGCCTAGAAGAGGCCGCAACTACGGTCTACTCCTGCCTGGAGAAGAATACCTTTTTAGAAAGCAAGGCTATGTGAAATTTAGTGGAAACGTCATGTCATTGTGGAAAATGGCAGCTATCAGTCCCATTATCACCCCAAACGACAAAGGATGAATAGATCTCATATGCAAGTGTATATATTGCATGTAAACATGTCGTTTTCTTACCAGACTCCATTAGCTGGCAAGTCACCTTCCGACTAAATACGTTGTAAATGCGAACAGTAGTTGGGTTTTGATAAATGTCCTGAGATAACATTGTTTGAGAAAAAAATTATTTCGTGTGACAATGTCTGCTAAAGATATTCGCTGGTTGATCCCACCGAAAATCGGGTGAAACAGGGTTTAGCATGTTTTTACACTAAACGACATGGAGCCGAACGACCACAGAATAACGGAAATCATGTCTCGTCTTCGAATGATTATCTTCAACGAACCTCTTCATCATGTTCATTTGTACGAAATGAAAGTGTGCACAAAGACAAAATATGATTACTGTCTGCATATTTCACAACTCGCTCTGCACACTATATCCAATTGTCGGACTATCTACAGACGTGGATATAGATAGTCTTCGAAAGCATTACTAATTCTTAAATGAC